TTAATTACATGATTGTCTTTGCCCAGCATGGGTAACTTACTTTGTCATCAAAGTTCTTGTTTACACAAAGCTGTATTTCTTTATTTATTATTTATACTTCATCCAGTTCCAAAAATAATGAGATAGCAGGAAAAAAAAAAAAAAAAGGTGTGGGGTGTTTAGGGATGTTTAAGAGACTCTGAGCAAGACGTTGGAGAATTTTGACAGAAGTTTAAAGTTGCTTTTTGTCTCCAAGCTCTTCTTCTCAGTAAAATTTCCAGTTCTCCTCGATAATTACTTCTTTTCTGGAGGCATTTCTTTCAGTTCTTTGCTGCACCGTCCAAGTAGTGATCTTTATCTTCTCTTACCCTCCCCTGCCTGCTGGGGTACATTTACCTGCAGGCTTTCATTGTTCTGAGAATAAAGTCCAAATGGCTTTGCAAAGCCACGCAGGGCTATGCTTGTCTGATCCATAGGCTTCCCATCCTCTTTGCACCCTCTTCCATTTTCAGCCACAGTGTTTTCACAGTTTCTGAAGACAGCCAAACTCTCCTTCTCTTATTCCTTAGTGCCTGCTCTGAAGTAGGCCTGGACTTTGCTACTCTCCTTTCTCCTCCATGCACCACCCTCTCATGCTGGGTCCCCCCGCCCCCCACAGCAGTATCTCAGTCAAGGAGGTCCCATGCTGCAGCATGCCTTCCCATGATTACCTTAGAGGAACCTACTCATATACATCTTGACTGAGCCATTATCAAAACTTTTTCCTTCATGATGTTGCCCACAGTGCTATCATCTCAAGTGTCAAGTCTGTAGCTTTTGATTTTTGTTTTCTTGCCTTCTAAATGCTTTCTAAATGTATCTCCTTCCTGACCATAGGGCCCCCATTTCATTCTCCCCCTTTGCACACAGTAGCCACTCAACAACCCATGAATGTGGTGTAGGCAGCTGAGAGATAGAAGTGTTATAGGCAGTCAGATAGGCCTAGGCCTTCAAAAGACCCAATATGGAAGACAAGCTACCTTGCATCTACCTCTGCCTCTACCGTACCTCTGCCTCTACACTGGGCTAGACCTCAAGAGAAAAGATTTAACAAATGCAGCCATATTCCTCCCTAGAGCTGGACACCAAGGACTGATATTATAAATAGGTATCAGTCACCCTGAAAAAGGCACTAACCCAGCCCCGTGTAGGAAAAGCCTCTGTTCTGTATTTGTGTCCACTTGTCACACTTGCTTCCCCATTTGATTCTAATCTAATCAACTTTACCTGAGTGATTCTGCTTGCAGTCCTACAGATTTACCATAGTTTTGTTCTACCTCATGCTCCCCTACCAAGTTCCCATGTTTCCCACCTTGGACCCACCTCACCTCGGGATTTTGATCTATTAAAAATCTCTAACAAGAACTGGTATCTTGGCAACTCACTGAGGTCCCCCTTCTGTCCCTCTCTCGGACAGGAACCTTTTTCTCCTCAATAAATATATTCTTAACCTCCATTGTTCCTAAAATTCATTCTTCAGTTTTGGAGAACACAGAATCATCCCAGTGTTCTTTCAGGTTGAGAATTTCTTTCCTCAGTAGCAAAGGGATGAAGGGGGAGACTAGCTTTAAGAAGAGCTTTGATGCATTTCACTTGACTTGGAATGTGTGCCCAAAACATTTGCATTTCTAGAGAGGGTGTCATTCTAATCTAAGTTAGTTGGATAATAATTGTAGAACCGTGTAAAATCCGGGAACTGGAACGGAAAGCGTTTTGGGGAAATGGAGGCTCACTGGGAAACGGCGACCCCTGACGTCGTTGTCTACTTGCAGATCTTTTCCTTGCCTTGTGGTTTGTCTCAGAGACAGACTTACATACTTCAGGAGATAAACCTCATAGACCACTTTGATTGCTTGCCAGGACCCTGGCCACCTGCATTAAAGCCAAGCTCGGGGTGCAGCCATTGTAGGACGAGGGACCCAGTCTCATTTCATGCATGTGACGCCCTCCACCTTGTCCTTTGGTGTTTCCTATGTGATTCGTCATTGCAGACTACACACTGCTCTCTTATACTGGAGTTTTATATTTAATTAGCAGCAAGGATCACAACTCTATGCTCTGCAAAGTAAAGTGATTAAAAGGGAAGCAAGGAGGAACAATGTCTCGGGAATTGTTCTTTGCTTTGTGATCGTGTCTGTGTGTTGCGTTAGCCATGCCTCAGCAGTGTCGCCCTCCCTCTGGCGGTAGCTCCGTACATGTGGGCCTAAGGTCACGAGGAGCCAGTTGAGTGGAGCTTGCTTCCTTTACCAAAAAAAAAAAAAAAGAAAGAATGAATGAAAAAAATAGTTACTGTGTTTTTATTCTTTTTTTAGTAGATATTTCTCTCTGACAAAGAATTCAATTGCTGAAGTTGATTGACACCATATACCTAAGAGTACACCAGTCTTTGGCATTTGGGATGAAGTTTGAAAGCTGCGGGGTCCATTAGTGAAAGGCGCGCTTTGGTTATGTGTAAACTGTAAGAGGCTCTGCTTCTATGTTTAAATTCCCTGGTGTTTCAGCAACATATCTCAAAATTTATTCAAATGAGAAAAGACATCACTGGATTTTTTTTTTTTAAAGAGGCTTTAAAAATCTGCCCTGTATTTTTTCCATACTTTCTTTTGATTTGTTCTTTTGTGCATTGTGCAGCTCTGTTGGACATAAAACTGGCGCAGCTCATCTAGGGTTTTATTTTAAGCTTTGGAAATGATTTGATCTTAACCCATAGCTTGTCATGTTCCGGGGGAGAGAAAGTCCTTGAGTGAAGGACAGGGTCAAGGGCAAGAAATGATCATCTTTCTTCTGTTTCTTCCACCCTCTCATTTCTCACATCCAGGAGTGCTCAGTCCCCTGAACACAGCCCCACACCTCACCATGACAGGCATTCTGAAGATGAAAAGGTGTATTGTAAAAGCTTATTTATTCAGAGATGAAATTTCATACCATTTACATTCAGAGGCATACCTCTGACACCAAATAAGCTCAAGAAATGATTTTTTTCATTTTTTAGATTCAAAATGAGATAAGTCACCTGGAAATATGCACTATGTAATTTCCTTTCATGGGCCTTATCAGTATTGGACTGGAATCTGCATTTTCCTTGTGAAGGAGACATAAAATTTTGTGTAACAGTGTGTATACTACATATGTGGTGTGATATTTTGGTGGGGAAGTAGGCCATGTTTGTATTTTTGGATTGTTTATTTTTTTTTTCTAAGCTTTTTTTATAGCTCTCAAAGATACTGGCCTATTTTATAGGGATTCTAACAATATGGAATGGCAAAATGGCTTGCAATTAAAGCTCAGTTAAAGTGTCAGTGAATTTATGTGAATATTTAGAAGATAGATATATGTATATATCTATATCTATATCTATCTATCTATCTATCTATCTATCTATATCCTGATTTTAGCTCACACCCATCCTAAGACATTAGGTACTAAAACTCCTCTTCTCAAGCCCAGTTTATGATGATGCTTCATACTGACACCATTTCTTGAATGCCATATGTGAATAAAAGCATAGGATTCTGCTTTGTTTTATGGAGACAGTAGGGTGCTGTAGGAGCTGCATATATTTTCTAGTCACATGCTCTGTGACTTTACCAAGACAGTCTGATATCTTTATGCTCAGGGACTCTTTAGCCATCTATCTATCTCTTGTTCTATCTGTCTACCTAGGTTAGGAGAGCTTAAAATCCTTGAAAACTGTTCTGAAATATTACCTCAGTGTTTTCTTAAGGGACCCCAGATTGAAGACGTTGAGGAGTTTTCACAGACTGCCTCTTCAAACAAAGCAATCACCTGAAGGTCATTCTTCGATTCGTTCATTTTTTCTACAAATGGTTCTTGAGTGCATGCCCTGTGCTATTGTAGGCTCTGGGGAAATAACCAAGAGCAAAAGCTGACCAGCCTCAGCTTATGCGGTTTTTCAGGGAGGCAGAACAGGTTAAAGAGAAAGGCTCCTCAGCCTATGCCTGCTCTAGGTCCCAGTCCTCTCACACACAGGTGGATCTAATAAATGTGTCCACATATTCTCAGGCTTGATAGATGGGAGAAGGTATCTGTATATCACCAAAGGAAAGAACAAGTATTAATGAATGAAAGATGAAAGCAAATTGGATGAATTCAAGAGCAGCTTCTCTACCTAAGTTCCTTGTGCAGGAAGGTTTGTTATGGGTATGTAAAGCTAAAAGGAATGATCAAAGTTATGAATGTGTGTTTTCCAGACATTGGTTGGTATTCTAAGTGATTTAGAGTCCTATGAATCTTTGAGACGTGAATACTGTTATTTTCCTCTTTGTCACACATAGAGATGAAGTCCTTTTCCAGCAGCACTGCCAGTAGGCAGAAAGGCTGTGCAGGTCCTCAGCTCCCAGACACCATCAGCTGTTGCTCTAGGTGTCTTCTCAACCTCTCTTCAGTCCATTTGCTCTGTGCTTAAACAGTACAAATTTGCCCCACAATTCCCTTAATGCAGCTAATCATCACCTCTTCGAAATGAAGAGTGAAATTTGGAGAGGCAACATCAGGAATCATCATCCCACCATGAGAGAACGAGGTGAGGTCAGTGCCGAGTAATTGTGACACCAGAGCCCTGTTCTTTCCAGGACAACAGCCCAGGCCCTGCCCGCATGACTGATAGTGGGGAAGGCAGAAAGAGCAGCTACTGGATGCCCCCAGAGCAACTCCTATATGGAGTGGCCAGGTCGATGGACCGGGGACTGTAAAGAGGTCACTGAGCACACCCACCTGGACACGGCTGACAAGATGCACAGGCCCAGCCTCTTCAGCAGCCCACCGGGCCAGCATCTGCAGAGCTGGGGCCCAGGAGCCTCCAGTGTACCTGCCCTTCCCCTGGTATCTTTCATGGTATTCAGGTTCAGGGAACTATTCTATCAAATGATGGCAAAGAAGCCCTCTGAAAATAAGAATCTAAGAAGTTGTTTCTTTTCTGTGAAACATGATTTCGACGTTCTGTGAAATATATTTGGGCGAACATGGCGGAGCGCGGGAGGAAGCGGCCGTGCGGACCGGGTGAACACGGACAAAGGGTTGAGTGGCGAAAATGGAAACAACAGAAGAAAGAGGAGAAAAAGAAATGGAAGGACCTCAAGGTGACCAAAAAGCTGGAGCGGCAGCGAGCACAGGAGGAGCAGGCCAAGCGCCAGAAGGAGGAAGAGGAGGCAGCTGCCCAGAGGAAGGACCTAGGACGGCCCTACACCCTGAGCGTGGCCCTGCCTGGCTCCATCCTGGACAACGCCCAGTCGCCCGAGCTCCGCACTTACCTCGCTGGCCAGATCGCCAGGGCCTGCACAATCTTCTGTGTGGACGAGATCGTGGTATTCGATGAAGAAGGCCAGGAAGCCAAGTCTGTGGAGGGTGAATTCAGAGGCGTTGGCAAGAAAGGGCAGGCATGTGTGCAGCTGGCCCGCATCCTGCAGTACCTGGAGTGTCCACAGTACCTGAGAAAGGCATTCTTCCCCAAGCACCAGGACCTCCAGTTTGCAGGCCTCCTGAACCCCCTGGACAGCCCTCACCATGTGCGGCAGGATGAGGACACCGAGTTCCGCGAGGGCGTCGTGGTAGACCAGCCCACCCGGGCAGGCCACGGCTCCTTTGTTAACTGTGGCATGAAGAAGGAGGTGAAGATCGACAAGAACTTGGAGCCTGGACTCCGGGTGACTGTGAGACTGAACCCAACGCAGCTTCCAGAATGCAAGACCTACCGGGGCACGGTTGTATCATCGCAGGAGCCTCGAACCAGAGCCGGGCTCTACTGGGGCTACACTGTCCGCCTGGCCTCCTGCCTCAGTGCTGTGTTTGCTGAGGCCCCCTTCAAGGATGGGTACGACCTGACCATTGGGACATCCGAGCGTGGCTCAGACGTGGCCTCCGCCCAGCTGCCCAGCTTTCAGCATGCACTTGTGGTGTTTGGAGGCCTCCAAGGGCTGGAAGCTGGTGTGGATGCTGACCCCAACCTGGAGGTGTCCGAGCCCAGTGTGCTCTTTGACCTGTACGTCAACACATGCCCAGGCCAGGGTAGCC